ATGGCAACTGCACCTGGGGCTGCAGATGCACATACCTGCATGAGCCTCTCTTCTGTTTAGGGGCTGGCTGATTACATAAAGATACATGAAAAACTGGTGGAGAAGGCAGGACCACAAACTGTCTCTTTTGTTCCAACATTTTTGCTCTATTTTAGCTCCGTATTTATCCCTTGCACCTTAATTTCTGTCAGTGTTCTGCACTCATTAACGCTGCAGCTCTGTAATTTGCTTTAGAAGGGGCTGAGGACACTGGAGCTGCACTCAGACATCAAGGCCTTCTGCCATCTCTGCTGCTCCTTCAGATCTGGGACTCAGCCCAGCAGTCAGCACTGCTCTTAACTTCAAGCACAGAACTGTTTAGTGCCACCCTGAGTGGTCATCAATAACTCAGCAGCAGGAGAGCAGCCCTGTGCAGAGTTTGGGTTTCTCCACAGAGCTGGCACCGAGGCTGGCGTGTGTGCTTAACTGAAGTGTTCTTGGCTCGGGGCCAGCTTGCATTCCTCTAGGCAACCAAACTCCTTGATAATTACTCCTCTTTTTTGTAATTCTCCTCATCTCGTTGTGCCAAGTTATCCCCCAGATATTGTGCTCCTGGGACACTGAAGTGTTAGACACACTAAAATATCTCAGGAAGTTACATTCTTGGTTTGTTTTCTGGCCTTTTGCATTGTGAAAAGCAATAGAGACAGGAGCTGCGTTTTACTGTTGCAGGACTCCTGGGCTCAGAATCCCTGTCAGAAACATCCACCCCCGAGTTGTGGGGATGGCAGAGGCTGGGGAAGCAGCAGAACTCTGTTTCTGCTGGAGTCAGTGCTTCGCAAAGCGGCTCCAGGCACTTTCTCCAGTTCTTGTGATTCCCTTCCTGAATTGCTGCAGCCAAGTAATTGTTTCATCATGTTGCTCCGAAATATTTTCCCATCGTGTCACCCTCACATTCATTTCTCAAATGCTCACTTCTCCTCTGTTCACTTATAGCAGATCCATCCCAAAGCGTCCGTGGCCCCCGCGGCGCCAGGTGGGAGGGAAGGGGCAGGGGAGGCCGGGGGTTTGGAGGTTTGGAGAGCTGATCCCTGTCCCTGTCACTTCTAGAGCACAGCGAGCTGCTCACCACAGCTAATGACTGCTGTTGCAACAGGCTGGCAGAGGCACGGTATTTATAGCAAACAAACCAGGCTGGGTGCGCGGGGCTGGGCAGCTCCTGCCTCAGCTCCCTCCGGGGAGCCCGGCACAGCCAGCCCTCCTCGGCCTGTGGGGGTCTGCTCTGCAACCTGCACCAAACTGGACACCTGCTAAACCCCCTGAGCTCTGCAACCTGCACCCAACTGGACACCTGCTAAACCCCCACTTACACCCCTGAGCTCTGCAAACTGCACCCAACTGGACACCTGCTAAACCCCCACTTACACCCCTGAGCTCTGCAAACTGCACCCAACTGGACACCTGCTAAACCCCCACTTACACCCCCTGAGCTCTGGGAAGGTGCTGCAATAGCTGTGGAATGTGTGATACAGAAATCCCAAAAACAAGGGCCAACAGCACAGGGCAAGGTGAAAACCAGATGCAGATCACAGTCTTTCTTAATTTTTAGTTAGCTGGAAATTATTATTGGAATTCATTATTATTATTTATTGCTATTATATGAACAATTTCCATAGTAAATATATTTTTAGGAGGAAATTCATAGTAAATGAGAATTACATTTGGCACTACTTTGTGAAATCATGGCACCCAGTTGGAAGCTTTGGAATTAAATATGTCCCTGTTGTCAATGCAAATCAATTCTCTTAAGAGAGTGTTAACCCACTTCTCTTTTTTAATTCCACCCTATAGTTTCCCACATCTATCCACCAGCACGTCTAGAAGGGGAGAAAAGGCTTTTACCCAAAATAAAACATTTGAACCATGGAGCAGGTGGGGAAATGATCACAAAAGGCAAGTTGGTTTCCAGTGGAGTTTCCAGTTCCCAGGAGATCAAATGCAGTTTGTCTGGGGAACGAGGGCCCTGCCAGCCCTGGGAGCTGAGTGCCCGAGCAGCCTGACTTTCATTTGACAGAGGAGCAACAATTAGTACAGAGAGATGCAGGAATTTTCCTGCATCTTCTAAGTCACCAATGGAAAGCAGTGGGAAAAGTGGAAAAGCAGCACCACAGTGTCAGAACTGCACTGGGTTGCACATGCTTTGGGCAGATCACAGAGTGATAACTGAAGAGCTGCTTTCAAAAGTATAATTGTATTTTAAATATATTTTTTTAACTGCTACATATGATTCGTTTTGCAGAACTAAGCACTACTAAATTCAAACACCTTATAAACCAGTGCTTTGGAAAGGACATATCAGTGCCAAGGATTTACAGACTGACTTCTACAGAAAAACCTCGGTTGTTTTAGTAGCAATAATAAAGACCTGTAGAAACTAACCAATGCCAAAACATCATTTGAAAAGAAAGATAAAAATAAAAAGCCCAGCTGAAATGCTGCTTACAAATTCCAATAACACTGGGAGCAGCTCTCTGGTGCCTGGGGTTCTCTGCCCACCACGAGCTGTCCTGAGTGGCTTCAGCAGAGAAGCCCAGCCAGCCCTGTCCGAGGCCAGCTGAGACATTCCAAGTCCTGCTCTCGGCCAGCAGAATCTTATTTGTCATGGGAAACTAAATCAATATTTGGAGCTGAGACACTGTTTGGACAGGGATTTTCCAATCCCCCCACTGCAATTAGAAAAGGTATTTGGACTCTTTTGTCTACTCTTTGCTTGGAATTTTCTCAGATTCATTTACAAGCTATTTTCTCCAGACTTATATTTTCTAGGAAATGTTTTAATTACCGGGTTTTTTCATGTGCTGTTTTAGAGGGCAGAGTATTTCATGGCCTCCATGCATTTAATGGCACTACAAAGCTCCTACAATGTAAATTATGACGGTAATACAAGATTAAGAATGAAGGATTGGGGAATTCTCTTTCCAAGTCTTTCACGGATTCCTTCTGAGCCGGCTGTAAAATTGGTGTGTTTATGGCCTTAATTCTCTTGTCTGTACAAAAAATCATTGCTGGACAAGGTTCCTGCTGAGCTAGAAACCTGTCATCCTAATTGGGAGATACCTTGGACTACAGCAGTGATTTAAACATCATTCCTTGAATTGCAGCAACGCCGCCCTGGCTGTGCTGCACTGGGCAGGCAGGGTTAGGGATGGGATTAGCTCCTTCATGCCTGGTGGAGCTCAGCCTCCAAAACTGGACTCGTATTCAAACAGATATAAATACCTCCAGTACATCTTATCTTTCAATCTACCCTGCCTTCGAACTCTTGTTGGAAACTTTGTTATTCAGAAAGAAAGAAAGAAAGAAAGAAAGAAAGAAAGAAAGAAAGAAAGAAAGAAAGAAAGAAAGAAAGAAAGAAAGAAAGAAAGAAAGAAATGTATGTGAGGACACCTCCAGTCCCCAGCAACTCCACCTTGGGCAGGCTGGGCTCTGCCTGGGAGCGCCGCCTGTGAGTTTGGGTGACATTGTGTGGCCTCCAGCACAACAAGAAAATAGGATCTAGCGCCGTGGATGAGTTTCGTAACGATACAAACAGCAGAATAAACAGCCACGGGAGGCTGGGGTAATCATCGTCACGAGGGACAGCCAAGACAAGATCTAACGTCTGTCCTGCCTGCAAGAACTTGAGTCACGCTGCTGCAGGAGCGAGCTCACCCAAGAATCTATTTCAGGGGCTCGTAAAAACAACTGAGCTGCACGGTACCCATGAAAAAGCAAAAGGGAAATGTGTGTGGGGATAACCCTGCCCTGCTCAGGGCTGCACAGCTCTGGGCGAGCGGGGAGCAGCCAGGGCCAGGGAGGGCTCCAGCTGACGGACCTGCAGGAGGCTCTGAGCTTAAGAGTCAAGAAAAGCAGAGCGGTTCTTTCAGTAGAAAACATGTTTTGCTTAAAGAGATGCTGGAAATAAGCAACAAGTTCCAGATTTGTCCTGCAGCCCACGGCTGTTGGTGTGGAATGTATAGGAACAACTCAAGGCCACTGTCTTTGTATGAAACCCCCTTTTGTGCTCAGCTGTCAGAGCTCAGGCAGCAAAGGAGTTTCTTTCCCCAGGCACTGGGAATCTGGATCTAAAAACTTCACGCTCAAATTTGGCCTAGCAGGAAAATGGAAAATGCTGACTAAGACCTGATCTTTTGCCCAACTCCCTCCACGTAACCAGGCTGAGAGTTTGCTGCTGGAGCAGGGAACAAGAGGCTGTCCCAGCAGCAGGCAGAGCCAGGATCTCCCCAGAACAAAGTCCTGGCTGCCCCAAACCTCCCCCTCCTCCTCTGCCTGCCCCCCAGCAAACCCCTCTCAGCAAGGTCTACCTGCAGTTCCTAGAACATCTCCAAGCACAGGAAGGGGTTCATGAGCCTCTCACCTGGTTGGGTCTCATGGGAGCTTCCCGAGCAATGCCCGAAATTACCGAAATCCAAAGAAATGCTACTTTCTCATGTTTATTCCTGTAAACTACAAACATAAGAAATGCTGAATCGTAAAGAACTCTGTAAAGAAAAAAAAAACAACAAACCAAACACAAACAAAACCTCATTTCAGGCTTCCTCCCTTAGTTTTTCCTCCTCCCTCCCACTTCAGACTCGGCGTTATTTGCCAAAGATTGGTCATGGTTTGGATAGCACATCTTGCTCTACACGTTCAAAACAGCATGAAGTGCAGAAAAAAACCCAACACAAACACCTCCTCCCCAAACAACACCCAAGCAGCAGCTAAAGCAGGTGATTAAAGGAAATAAAATGAGGCAACAAGAACCGGCAAAGGCTTCCAGCTCTGCTCTTTGCTGAGTTTCTCTTGGGGGTTTGGTTTTGATTATTGGTTTGGGGTTTTTTTTCCCTTTCTCTCAGAGAAAGCTTTAAAGACCAACAAAAATCTCTATCCCTCATCACAGCATTGAGCCACAATCAGCTGGAATTTCAACCCTGTGTTAAATCTAACTTTAAGCATGCCTTCAAAATAAAACAAGCTACTTTTTTTTAACCTAGTCATAAAGTTTATTAAAATTGTTCATTAATGCTTCAAATGTAGCAAGAATGCATAGATCCCAAAATATACATATGTATTTTCTTATAGAAATAGATTATTCTTTATAATAAAAAAACTGTAGGAACATCTTTAACAGATTACTCAATCCATGACTGACAGTTACACGAGATTGCATCATGTACACAGCATTCCCAGCCATGCTTAAAGGATTGCATCACTTTGCCCTTGCTCTCCTCTCGCTCTTTTAAATAACCCAGCGCCCAGCAGAGCCCGCCCGGGCCAGGGCCGGGGTCCCCCCGCGCCCCCTCCGCGCCCGCCCCGCTCAGCCCCGGCCCCGCTCCGACCCCGCGCGGCGGCGGAGCCTTCCGCCAACATGTCGATAAAGACCAAAAAAAAAAAAAAAAACCCAACAACAACAACGAGAACACAAATGAAAACCAAAGCCGCCCGCCCGGCGCGGGCGCTCGCCCCCCTCGGCCGGCCCCGGAGCGCGGAGCGGGGCCCGGCCCGGCCCCTGCCCGGCCGGGGGTCAGCAGCGCGGCGAGGAGGCGAGCAGGGGGTCGGGCAGCTGTTTGAACAAGTTCCTGAGGGTGCTCAGCTCCCGGGAGAGCTGCTCCACCTTCTTCTGCAGCCGCTCGTTCTCGGCCGTCAGTTCCAAGACTTTGTGCTGCGTCTCCAGGTTGCGCATTTTGGCTTTGTCGCGGCTCTTGCGCACCGCGATGTTGTTCCTCTCCCGGCGGAGCTTGTACTCGTCGCTGTGCTTGTCCACGCACTTCTTGGGCTTGTTCTTGCCCGCCGGGGCGGCGGAGTAGCCCCCGCCGGCGGCGGCGGACTTGGAGGACTCGGAGGGGTTGGGGGTGCCGGGGGGGCTGGAGGAGGAGGAGGTGGACAGGTTCCCGCTGCTGCCGCTCGGCACCGACTGGTAACCCAGGTAGGAGCGCACGGTGCTGCCGTAGGGCGAGGACATGCCCCCCGGTCCCGGCCCCGCGCCCCCTTCTTCCTTACGGGGCCCTTTGCAAGAGTCCAGGGTCTCGAAGACCGGCTCCACTTTGGTTTCCACGATCTGGGGCGGGAAGCAGCCCGGCAGCCCCCCCGGCTTGTGGCTCTGGCTGGCGCACGGGTGGCTGTGCCGGGCGAGGCTGATGTAGGCGTAGTCGGGCTTCTTGCTGCCGCCGCTGCCTTTATAGTCCTCGGCGAAGAGATCGGAAAGGAAATCTTGGCCGGCGCTGCTGCTGCACGGAGGCTCAAAGTTGCCCCCTGCTGCTGCCGCGGGAGGCGGCGGCTGCGACGCCAAGGGCTCCAGGTACGGGCTGAAGTCGATGGCTCGCTCGTGGTCCCCGACGGTGAGCTCGGTCATGGAGCGGCCCCCGGCCGCCCGCGGGTGCAGCTTGTTGAGAGCAGCCAGACAGTCCGCCTCGTAATAGAAATTAGCCACTTCCATGGATTTAAAGGCGGGCGGCTGGATGGGGAGGCATGCTGCGTCCCAGGCCACCAGGCGTTGCATGAAAGCAAAGGGGGATGCGGGGAGGAGGAAACGACGCAGGGGGCCCCCCCCGGCAGAGGGTCAAGCTGCCGCCGTCGGGGTGGGGGGCTCCAGACCCTGCCGCGGTCTCCGGCCCGGGCACGGCCCCGCGGCGCTGCCCAGCCGGGCTGGATCAGTCCCTGCGGCGCGCCGGGGCTTCACCGCTCCGGCAGCTGCGGCGGGGGCTGGCGCGTCTCCTCCGGACCATCTGGTTCTGGGTCCCGTGTCCTAAAGTCTCTGACTTAGGAAAGTTCCTTTCCCCAGTTATTTATAGGGGCGGTGGATCCCATAGCAACAGGCGCGTCACCGCCTGGCCGCCTGCCACTCCGCACGCTCCGGTCCCGGCCCCGGAGGAGGCTCCGCGGCGGCTGCGCCGGTGCGGTGCCCGCCGGGCCGCCCACAACAAACCGGGCAGGGAGGAGGGAGGGGCCGGCCACGGGCCCGCAGGTGCGGGAGGACGGGGCTGGCCGCGGCCGGGGCGGCAGCGGGGAGCGCTCAGCCCCGGGGCCGCGGGGACACGCGTGTGCGGGCACTGCTGCTGCTGCTGCCGCTGCCCCTGCCCCTGCCGCCCCTGCTGCTGCTGCCGCTGCCCCTGTCCTTGCTGCCCCTGCTGCTGCTGCCCTGCTGCCCCTGCTGTCCCTGCCCCTGCTGTCCCTGCCCCTGCCCCTGCTGCCGCCGCTGCCCCGCGCCCGCCCGGGCTCCGCTCGGCACCCAGAGCGAGGCAGTGCCCGGGGCTGGCACTGCCCGGGGCTGGCACTGCCCGGGGCTGGGCACAGCTCGCTCTGGGTCTCATTTCACCCTGGGGGAAATCGAGGCAGGAGAGAGTTTTCCAAGTTCTTTTGGCCAAGCAGGGGGACAGCTGCAAACCAAAGTCGGAGCCCGTTCCTCTGCGTCCCGGGCTTGCTTTGCTGGATCCCCCTGGCCAGAAGTGTCCAAGGGACATTCCCAGAGCCCCTTTCCAGCGGCAGGGAGGGCTGGAGCCGGGCACTGCCCCAGCTTCCCCCGGCACAGCCCGAGCCCGGCCAGGGCAGCGCTGCCGCCCTGCGCTCCCAGCACCCATGGGGGCCTGCACGTTTGCCTTGGCATATTTGCTTTGTGTGATATGGTGCAACTGTCAGGGCACACACGGGAACCGGGAATGGGGACCGGCGCTGGAGCCAAAGCACACGGAATGGGGTCAGAGCAGGGGGGGGGATTTGTGCCTCTGAACGTGGAGTCCAAAAGTTTTGACATTTGCGGGATAAGTTTGGGAAGGAAGACTGAATCCCGATGTCCGTTTTAATTAAAGACACCCACCTTGGGAATCAAACTTATATTTTCACTCTCTTACTCCCACATTTACCTGTCTACAAGCTGATGATTCATGCCCAGAATAAAGGACATTAATTTAAAACAAAACATATAATTAAAGGAAGTAGGAGTGTCCTCCCTCACTAAAGAAGACCTAGCACTGCAGGGAAAATGACACTGCCTCTTAGAATAATGTGAAGCAATCCTGCGGTGTGGGAAATATTGTAACGTTAAGCCAGAGGAACAGGTATTGCATTATATGATTCAAACAGTCAACTGTTCTTAATGTTCAAACCTCAGAACTCTGAAAAGAGGAAGAATTCAAGAATCAGTCAGTGGATCATCAGACTTTTTCTTTCTTTTTTTATTTTATTTTTCTTTTCACGTTTTAATAGGATTTATTTGTTTGTTTCCATAACAAAAGCTCCCTAACAGGTTTTCAGGCTTCAAATATTTCTAGTTCCATCTTTATCTACCAAGTTAATCTTTGGTGAATGCACTAGAGATTAAATTGGAGCTGGGGCTGGCCAGAGAGCTGGGTCTGGAGATTGCAGTTGGAGCCCATACCTTCATAAATACAAACATCTGTATTGGGTGCAAATACTGGCAAGTTGCAGTGAGCCAGGGCTTGTTCTTCTGGCTGTTTACTCCCTCATCCTGTGCCTTTATCCTGCATTCTGATCTGGCAGTTACATCCAGTGGCTGCCCTAACTGGCCCTTCCAACCGAACTCTTAAATCAGCCTGGTGTTTCCTACCCCGCACCGTCCCAGGCCCCAGGGGCAGGACCCTCCTGGCTGGTGACCTGGCACAGCTGCTCTGCCTTGGCATTGCCCCACAGGTCTCCAGCTAGCCACGGTCCTTGGCTAAAGTCAAATGTTAAAGCTGCTTGGTAAAATTCCTGAACAGATTTCCAAGATGCTTTTGGAGATCTGAGTTTGCCCTCTTCAAATTTCTGCCCTATTCTCTGCTGCTCTGCAGCAGAAAGTTGTGCTCCTGCCTGGGGTTAATCTTCCCTAAGAAAATAAAGTCTGTGCAACTGTCATGTGAAGCAGATTCTATCAGGGCTGGCCCACACCTGCTCTCCCGGCCAGCGCTGAGTAATCCCGCAGTCACCCCGATCACGTCAGCTGGGTGGTAATTCAGGTTGGGTGCCCAGCTTGTCCCCTCCTTCCCTTCTCCCCCTCAGCTCCCTGCTCTACCTGGATCTCTTTCAACTTCCTCCAGCTCACCTCAAATCCCAGCATCCACTCTCATGGAGCCAACGTCCGCTCTCAGCTTCTCATGGGAACCTTGTTGGCGGGACTAACCACTTATCCAAAACCCCAGCGTTCGGCGAGCAGGTTTTGAGCTAACTCTGGGCTCTTTTAAATTATTTCTGCACTTGTCACAACAAATGCATGGCCAGGAGTGGGGGTTTTGAAATGGGAACAGGTGCAGAAGGAGGCTCACACCACAGCACTGAGCCGAGGTCTGGGCACACAGGGCTCTGTCCCTGCGAGTGCCTGGCCTGGCCTTGCTGGATGTGCAGAGGCTGCTAATAACTGTCCTGGAAAAGCTCCTCAGAGGTGCTTTAGGCAGGGACATGCAGACATTCCTGGTAAAGGCACCCAGGCACTGGCAGCAGCCCTTCAGCTTGTCTCCCAACAGAGCAATTTCCATTAGAAAGGCAGCACTTCTGTAAAAAGCACCTTCCTTCCAGTGATTTCATAATTTCTTATTTTCAGAATTATTCAGCTGAGGGAGGAGACAGCAAAAGTCCCAAATTACTTAGTAAGAATACAACATTTTTGAGAAAATAATTCTGATGCAACAGCATCCAGGTTCCTCTACTTTCACGTGTGAAACAATCCAGACATGGGGAGGGGAACAGGAGGAGACCAGAGTGGTGAAAAGGTGGAGGGAAGAATCTCATCCTCACTGCTCTTCTCTGTCATGAATTAAACTCTGCTCTCTCTCTGTACTGTAGAAGCCTCAGCTTTGCAGCTCTGGGCTCAGACCTACACTAAAGCATTGCAGAGGAATTTTCTTCCTGGAAATTGTCTTCTTTTCCAGGATTTCTTGCAAGCTTTCCAGTTCACGCACTCCAGGTCTACAGCAGCTGCCTCTGGAATGACACCAGCTTTGGGGAGATGCTGTGAGCTAGTGGTGATGGCTCAAACACTGAAGTGTTCATCAGAACCGAGGCTCACACCCCAGAAGGAGCCTGGCTGACATTTCTGATGTTTCTTGCTCAGCTTTATGATTTGTCCCATTTGTGATTTCCCTGGCAGCAGCTCTTAGCAGGTCAGTAAGATCAGAGCTGCATGGCACCAGAGCTGCTCGCCCACCCTGCAGAGCTGCAGCTGGAGCAGCAGAGGGGCACAGCAGGGGCAGGAGGGCGATGCCAGCAGCTGACAGCCACAGCAGGGCCTGTTGGAGGTGAGCTGAGGGGAACGGGAGGGACCCCAGAGCAGTGTCCCTGCAAGCAAGCACAAAGGGGCTCTGGGGGGTACGAGGGGACCTTGCCTAAAAGACTGACCTAAGTAGAGCAGTGTTGCAATAAAGGCTGTAAAATAGAGAAGTAACATTGAAATTTATTTCTGAGCATGTTGAGCCCTTTTCCCCCCTTCTCCCTAGCCCCAGGTCTCGCTTTATTCAGCTGCACACCACATGCCAACAGCAGCTCAGCAGCTGTACCTGGCGGAGCACAGGTTTGGAACCATGGCTCCCCACTTGCTGATCTCTGCTGTGAAACAAGAGCCCTTACTGAATGTCAGACAGGGACGATGTCTCAGCTCAAGAGAGAGGTTGGCTCTCCTTCTGTCTGGCCCAGCTCAGGCCCGGCCCGAGGCTTTGCCTCATTCTGACCCAAAAAGGGATTGCCACAAGGGCTGGCCGTGCTGCCCCAGCTGGAGGCTGTGCTGCCAGTCCCGGGGCAGCCGTGTCTCCTTCTTCGCTGCTTTTGTCCCAGAGCAGAGCCCTCCCCCGCTCCCTCCCCCGCTCCCTCACCCCGCTCCCGTGACACGGCGATGGCTGGGGCATGGTTTTTGTTGGTCTTCTGCTGATTTTCTGCTCCCCTGTGCCCCAGCAGCCTGGCCCTCGCAGCGCTGCGTTGCTCAATCCCCCTTTATCTCCACGGTGCTCTTTGCCCTAGCGGGCGCCGAGACGACACCTGGAGACTGACACCGTGGGACAGCATCAGCCAAATTCCCTCCTGAGCAGACGGAAAATTTCCCAGAGGTCAGAGCACCCACGCCGTGGCTCTGAGAAACAAAGGAAGGAGGAAGAGTCAGACACAAAGGCCAGTGGAAGGGAGCAGTGACAAAGCACGCAACCTCCATCCTGCGTGGAGAGAAAGTCCCTGCTGGAGCTGGTGCCTGGAGGGATGTGGGCTGTCAGGCTGGGCAGGGACAGTGAGAGGGGACTGTGTTTTACGAGCAGCCCATTTTCTAGTGCTCCCATAAAAACGGCAGAGAAGTTACTGTCCACTAACTTTGCAAAAGTTCTCTGTAGTTGCCTGACATTTCCTGGGTAATTGCAGCCTCCTGCTTTGGTGAATTTGTTACAGATTATGCATTTATGACCTCTAGTGTATCCAAGCTTTCAAAAGATCCATCAAGGGAAGATGAATCCCATCCTTCCAGGGTACCCTGTGAAGTGTCAGAAGTTCCTAGTAACACGACTTGGTAATTCACTCAGGATATTTCTAAAAGAGGAGAACTCTCCCAAGGTCGTGGGGCTGTGGGACAGACAGCTTGAACTCCATGGGGTGTGTGGCAAGGGGCAACATAAAACTAGGGAAGTCTGACAGGGTGACAGGAGAAGGGGCTCAGGTGAGGAAATAGAAGATTTTTCCTTTATTAAAAGCATTGAAAGTCTGTGCTCTGGACTGTACAAATACTTGTTTCCCATCTGCTCTCGTCCTGTGTCGAGCACCACAGGGAAAGCGGGGCTGCCAGGGCATGGGTTCGGGCTTGCTGTGTGTGAGTCCTGGCACTCGGAACAGCCCCGGGGCCGGTCTGTGTCACCTGCCGGGGGGGGACCACGGTGCCCTGAGCACACGCGGCGCTCCGCGGCCCCTGCCAGCTCCCCACCTTGGCACTCACGGCTTTGGACGGGAGCCGTGGGAGTGGCAGTTCCAGCTCTGCCACCCACTGACACTTTCCCATGCCCGAGAGAGTCCGGCGAGGAGCCGCAGCGGCTTCCTGCTGCCCCGCGCCCCGGGGCTCGGTCGGAGCGGGCAGAGCTCGGCCGGGGGATGCGGCACCGGCGGCACGGGGCTGGCACCGGGGGCACCAATGGCACCGGCACCGGCTCCCGCCGCCCCGGTGCGGGGCCAGGGAAGGAGAGCAGTGTGGGACTCAGCGCCGCTGCTCGGGGATGGCTCCGGGCACACGGGCTCGCAGCCGTGGGAGCTTTCCCCGGGTCCCGGCCGGGTCCGTCCGGTCCCGGCGGGGCTGAGGCGCAGCAGGGCCGTGTCCAGGGCGCGGGGACCGGGAGAGGCTGCCCTGGCAAGGAGACCCCCGAGCCCGATCCCGATCCGAGCCCATCCCCATCCCGATCCCGATGCCAGCCCCGCGCCCGGCAGCGGGCTTGGAGCGCCACCTAGCGGGCCGTGCCGGGCCGTGCCGGGCCGTGCCGTGCCGTGCGTTACCGGGGCCGCACCGGGACGGGCCGTGCCGTGCCGTGCCGTGCCGTGCCGTGCCGTGCCGTGCCGGCGGTCGGGCCCTGCCGTCCTGCGGGCAGGTGCGGCTCCGGTGCCGCCGATCCTGAGCCATTTCCCAAGGACGTTCGCTACCCCGTGCACGGCCAAACCTCGGTAGCAGCGTGCCGGTGCTTGCTCCTCCCGACAGCCCTTCGGCCTCGACAAGCCAGACCACCAACACACCTCGGAGCTGACGTGGGGCCCGCTCCCGGGAGCTGCCGCAGCCCCAGCCGCTCGCACCCTCCTGCAGCTACACACTGGCGCGGGCAGAGCCCGGGGGTGTCCCGGCGCCCCGGTAACAGCGGCGGCGCGGCACCGAGCTGCGCCCGGCCACGCTGCCCGGCACCGAGAGCGCGGCGGGAGCAGGGCACCCTCGGTGGCCGCATTGTCGCCGCTGCGGCGGAGCGGGGGCACGCCGGCAGAGGGCGAGCGAGGCACCGGGCGGAGGGGGCGCTGCGAACGGGAACACCCGGGACCGCACGGCCCCGCCCCGGGCCCGCTTCCGCCCTCATCCTGGACCGGATCGGATCGGACCGGACCGGACCGGACCGGACCGGACCGGACCG